AAACTGGAAACAAAATAGGGCATGTGGTTACATTTGCTCTACAAAAATGCTTCTAGTTCGATCCGGTGTGTACGTAGGTGGATTTCAAAAAATAGATTACCGACGTTCTATCTTAGACATAAACACAATGGCAAGGCTTGGTGCGAGCCGCTGTCCCATTGCCAACCCCCTTATTTGCGCGAAATATTTCCCAGACCATCTGAAAATCGAGCAGTTTAGGCACTCTTTTAAGAGAGCCATTAGCTACTAGATGGACAAGCCATGCATATTTATTCTTCCTCTATGTTCAACAAGAAGTTCGAGGATGGCTTGCATTGCGGAGTCATTCGACACGTTAGTGTACAGCGCGGTAACGTCGAAGGACTCCCTTAAGTACGCGTTATTAGGAGACGCGTTACGTAAACGTTCTTGGGACATTTGGGTCTTCGTGAGGTGAGCTGGAATGTGGTTAAGCAACTGGGTAAGTATTAGGCTTAAAATCTGGTTATTCTATCCGTTGGTCCGTCTACGCAGCTCGTGATGGGTCTAACCTTAAATGATGACAGATTCGTTGACGCATGATCATCAGGTGATACCAACTTATGTGTTTTAATAAGTAGGTATAGGACGGGACATGTTGGTTTATTGATTTTAAAGTCCGAAATAACCGATAATTTTAAACCCGCAGCCTTTGCCACGCTGACCCATTGATTGTTTAGCTTTCGGTATTGACTTTTATATTCCTTTTCAGAGGATGGGCGATAGAGAGTAGCATCACTAAGATGTTCCTCTGTTATCTCAGCATCCAACTGGCGAGGAATAACTACGAACTCTCCCTCCTTATCACTAACAGACAATCTTATTGTTTTCGAGTTTATTAACTCTCTAATTTCTCGCATGCCGCATTTTTGTGCGGCTGTAAGGTTAGAGATAAACTTACTATCGCGGTAGTTATTAAGGGTCTTGAGAACGCCGCCCGAAAACGTCAACTCCATCGTTACAAGAACATATTTGTTCATTTCCTTTCTTCCCACCCCTACACACACAAAGAGGGGGCTTATGAGAAACATGTTTCGAACAGACACCTCTGTGTGCACTACCAGGGAACTAAAGGAAGAATCGCGCGACTTGGCTCGGTAAATAGCCATCTCCGATGGCTACGAAATAGTAACCCCACGAGATAAGTTTAGAACGAGAGCGACGAGCCCACGCGAAACACTTTGCAGAAGAATGTCCCGTTTATGTTGCCTTTTATAAGCGATGAAATAAGCGTAGCTATAAAGCGATGCTTAAGAAGGGCAGGTCTAGAGGAATCGGTAGCGATAGTTGAAATACCACCGGCTATTCTACGTCGTCAGTTAGTTCGTAACCGCCTGTATAACCGTCTGTGTGAAACAACAAATTGCGTAATTTGCCCTTACGGCAGGGACGGTGATTGCATGAGTTCAGGTACGATATAACTGATCTCTTGTACTAATTGCGGAGATGAACATATTGGCAAAACGGGCAGACCTTTGTGTATCCGTATAAAAGAACACCTAGATGGCAAACGAAAACTAAGACCAAGCACCCCACTAGGCACGCATAGGATACAAAAGCATAGCGGGGACGATTTTGAAGTAAAAGTTAATATCCTTGCACAGGAGACTAAAACACCAGCGCGAAAACTTCTTGAGGTTTTTTGGATAAATGCCAAAAACCCTACAATGAATAGCAGGGACGAATGCCCGGAGATCATACGCGACCTGACCACGTATGTTCGCATCGATTTTTGATGTGGGATGGTGCAGTCGTCAACCATATGCGACTATAATCAGCTGTTCTAAACTTCCTCATTGGAAGTCACGAAAAAGGCGGTGGGTTTTTCGAGAAGTTGTTGGTCGTGTAATTACCAAAGAGTCTCTCGTCTTTGTGTGTTATTGAAGCGTTTGGCCTAGTAGATTGTATATCAGTATGCCCTGCCATGCCCTGAAGAAGGCGGTACTGCCGAAACGTCAGCCAGTGTTGTATTGTATTGTGTTTTTCTATGGAAGTAAATGTATGCTGTTTAAAAACCTCGCGATTGCTGAACAAGAAAACGACGTATTCATATTCCAATGCCGAGGTTAATAGAGAGTCAATCCTGAGAATATCGAAATCCTGGTTTAGCGTTTCCTTGTCTGGATATGGTGGTGTTTGGCCGAATAGATTGCTGTCAACTTGACCTCTCCAGGCTCTGACGAAGCCGAAATCCGCCGAAACCTCAGCTTGTACGTAAATAAGGAAATAAAATAGAAATAGAAATGGAATAAAATAAATAAAATAAATAATAAAATAAATATAATAATAAATAATAATAATATAATAAATAATATAGTACAATATAATATATAATAATAATATAATATTATAATATTATAATAATATAATATAATATAATATAATATAATATAATATAATAATATAATATTATATATAATATTATAATATATAATAATATAACAATATAATAATATAATAATATAATATAATAAATAATAATAATAATATAATAAATAATAAAATAAAATAAAATAAATAAATAAAATAGAAATAAAATATAATGACAACCTCGTGTCTGCTTATTGATGAAAAACATTGAATTATCAATTAATGCCGAGGTTAACAGAAAGTCGGTCTTGGGAATTACTACGTGTTAGTGGTTGGATCGGGGAAGAAAGGTAGTAAAATTGGACACTCAAAAGAAGTAGAAATAAAAATAATGAAATGAGTGCATTTATTCTGAAGATTTACTATAGTCCAAATTTTCTCCATGTTTACCTATTCGACATCGCTTCGCACCAGCTGCCTCGATCCAAAGGTTCCATACAAGGATCTGAAAGATTTTAGGGAATCGTTGACGGTCTTGAATAGAAAACTTTCTTCAGACTTTACTGAATTGATTACAATGCACACCAGTACTGGCTTAGAAATGACAAACCGCTGTCATTGTCAAACCCACATGTGATGACAGGGTCTGTGTTGGTTTTCACTAAAGGCATGGTGGATTATAGTTTTCTCCCACACCAAGGACAAAAGTCTGGTATTATCGCAATGTTTCTCACCTATTCCCGTTAATTCACAGGTTTGTTGGCAAATTTCGAACGTGTCAAATTTGTTGGGATTGCCTCCACACCCTGTAAAACGACAACGTTGATGGCAGTTCGGTGAATTCACAGCTAACAACATACCGCCATAAAGAAATTGATCACATGTTCCGCTACTCTGGTTGTAGAACCACATGTACCGTAGCTGATTACACGAACCCCACTCAGGATCGTATGAACACAACGCTGAAATCGAACCCCGTCAACACAAAAATCTGGATGTTGATCCAGAAAAGTACCTATTCTCTGGATGAAAGTCATTTCCTAACAGTTCCCTGTCAATAGGACCCCTTAGATCACCGTACGAGAACAAATTTCACACGTATCCAGGTTTAAATCTCGGTTCACCCGAATGTAGCGTCGGCAATGCGGAATCACAAACGTACTTGCGTTTTTGCTCGGCTTCTTGCCATTGCATATTTCTTCACAGTCATGTCTTGTGGCAAATCTGAAGAAGATAGAAAGGGTCAGAATAATGATAGGGTGGAAACGAGCACAACGTATACGGTAGTTCATCCTTGAAAAGCGAGACTCCAACCTATTGACACCTCCTCCGCATCCGCTATATGTGAACTGTACGCATCGGAGTTCCGCCGAGTACGTCCATCTCTGAAAATTCGAATGCGATATCATTTAACCAATTGTGATGGGATGATACTGCTCAATTCTTCCTTAAAAGAAGATAGGAAAAACTGAAGTTTGTACCAAAAAATCATTTCTCGCTACACTTTTTAATAGAAAAAAAGAAGCGTTAGAGCTTTAGAGCTAGACGAAATTCCAACGCAAACTATATATTATTACTATAAATCGGAAAAAGTTAGTGGTGTTGTATCTAATGAGATATATTATATGGCCTAATGAGGTATATATATGGTACACGTTTAAATTACGCTTTGAAACAAATAGAAATGTGTATAACCCGAGTAAGAAGACAAAGAAGAAGACAAAAGGCAAAGCGAACTAGGTGTCGACACCAGACTAGTCCATTTACAAATACCTTTCAGGTTTATTATGCTGATCGCTTTGAATCAGTCATTATGAGGAAATTAAGTAATCTCTAAACCCTGATTAGTGGTAATGTGAACAGAATCCTCCACTGATCACTTCCACGATGGTTGGAAGCTATTCATTTTACCTCTATATATCACGTTTACCATTCCTTCTGAGCACAATTATTGAGTCCGTTCTTCTCACCTGCACCGTATGATTGTCATTTCCGGGGCAATTTCCTCTATCTCCAGGTGGTTGGAAACACACTAAAAAGATTCACATTGCATGGTGACATTAAGTATCTACTAAATTTGACACTATACTACTTTTACAATAATGAAAGCTAAAAGAGCTCTCGGCGTTGATCAATCCCTGAGGGATGCACCATGCATTCGACTTCATTAACTATCCTTGGATGTGACTGAATACATATCTGGCCTTTACAATGACTCGCGGTGGCCTACCGATGTATCGAACCAGTGCTGCTATCCTCCCAGACAAGTCTGGTACTAATTTGCCGACCCCGGAGGGATGGAAGGTTTGGTGACCCATGGGCATGGGCATCGATTCCACACGTGTGTCGCAGTGGTGCCTGCAACCGCTACGCAACACACTCCCTTTACAGTGCTACCACACACTATTCATTTGTTCAGATATACTTTTATTTCTTATTTTTTATTTTTTTTAGGAACTACACCATTCAAATAGTAGAAACTCGCTGCATATAGGAGATATTAGAAACAAAGCCAAGAATAAAATGTAAGCCGAAAACATATAGAGATTCTCAAAAAAAAAACACGAAAAAAAAGCCACTTCAGAAGCGAAGAAGATAAGAAGCATAACCATGAATACCATTTATTTAAGCATGAAAAAAGTGCAGAAAATCGGAAATCGTAAATATGGCGCCTAATTTATCCCAAATATACCGTTGCCATTCGCCCTCGGTTTTCTGTCCACTCTTTGCATTTGAATTTCACAGGTTCTCTGGCACACTTCGTATGAATAGAAATTATTCGCGTTACCACCACAACCGTGATACCAGAATCGTAAACATTTTCCTGAGAGAATGATATTTTTACTTTTATATACATGAAATCTTTAGAAATACCAAACCATACCTTGACTGCGACTGAAATAAAAACGAAAGCCAGCGTCTGGTAGGCAATTGCTGTCACTGCTACCAAAACCAATCTCCAGAGGCATGTGACAGTCCATTTCACTTTCTACAAGTCTTTAGAATAGACCGTAAGAAAGAGTAGCGCTATTCCCACCTAGTTTAATGCTTCACCATTCTATATGGGAGAATGTACCTGGTCATGAAACATTGACATATAAATGGGGTTGATCGGCTGATGGGTCTACGCATGTTGAGAATACATTTGATGATGTATCTAGACGTCTAGATAAGAGTAACTAGGGAGTTTTCGATGATCTGACAGAAGAATAATCACAATGCGGAAGAATTCCCTTCGATCGATGAGGACCACAAATGAGAGGAAGGGAATCCTGAGAAGACCGAACAAGGTTATGTTGGGCATCGGTTTAAAAATGTTTGGCGAACCAGTGAAATAGTTATGTTACAAGCTCTATGTATATCATCTGGTACAAGCTCTATATATATCTGGATCACATCCTACTTCTACATAACACTATTTTCAAAAAGTAGGAAAAGTCAAAAGTTTAGGAAAATCTTCAAAAAGGTAGGTAAAATCCTAGAAAGATCGTGAACTGGGGTGCCTTCACTTTTAAAAGTTCTCAACATTACCGAACAAGTTAAGACTTGGAAGGATCAAAACGCTTGATTGGAAACACTAGTGCTCTAGTTCTGGGTGTTTTGCATGAACGACAAGTAATCAACAGTCTTAATCAGAACCTACAACCAACTCAGAGACGCTACAAAAGATCTGAAGAAGAGAAGAGCAACAGTGCTTGCTGAAGCTGCAAAAGTTAGCACGAGCATGAGCAATGCAAGCCAAAACTGCGCTAACTGCTAAACTGAGGATGTCGCCTGAGTGCTTAGATTGGGTATTCATTGTTTCCAGAAAGTCGATGGATGAGGCCACCTCAAATATTTATTCCGTTCTTTTAGAGGGCTGTGTTTACATGTCACAGTATCCGATCAGTGAGGATAAACCATGGAACGGCCTCTAATTGGTAATAGATTTGCATGGAGAATAAAAACGCCGACTGGATACATTGACAGACCCGCTATATCGGTTTATAGAAAAACAGGAAAGTTTCCTTTGTATAAGGAATTACGGTAGCATTCCTTAAACATTTCGGGGTTCGCTGGAATGGACTCGGTCACCTCTATGAGACGGTGAGAGATTAACTTAATGACTAAATTAGAACATCATAATTTGAGTATGAACTCCTTTTACTACCGTACAAATAAACTTACCTGTCATGTGCACGAATGGTTCACATAGGCTTTCGCACTGTGAGAGGGTTAGAAAGCGGTTTTCGTTACCGCCACATCCAGAATAAGAAAATGGACGACAACTTTGTGCGAGCCGGTCAAAATAATAGGCTGGATAGCTGCAAATAGATTCGAACACTTTAGAGAAATTCATTAGGACCATTTAAACTAACTCAAAATACGAAGATGTCCAACTATTCTAAGCACATTTCATCTCCTACACTGGAATGACCTGTATCCATAAGAAACTAATAGCATTTTGAATTTGAATGAGGGAACAGATTTTAAACTAAGTGAAGTCTTAACGTAAGTAGTATACACTAATACTTACGTTTCTTTACAGGTGCCTATTGCAAGTTGCAATAGGCAGCGGTAACTTGTATCCAAATCCGGCAGCTTTTCAGAATTCTCGTACCCTGAAGCTGATGAATTTAGAAGAAAAAGTCCTCCACTTAGTTGAGTTTCTATTTTCGGAGGTGTTGTTGGTAGTAAAGAAAATCCAGATCTGATCAACTAATATTTGAAAGGCAAGCCACTAAATGATAACATCGTTTACAAAAGATAAAAAACGCTGCAAATCTATGAGCTTTTGCAAATTGTAACAAGGTGTAGTGTCTTGCATTAATGAAATAATGAAATAGCAGAAAACTCTTCATTCGTGTTTACTTCCACATTTGTAGAAAAGGCCTTAAAATCGGCGATAAACAAGGCATTGATTGGATGAACGTTTTTCTTCACTTGCTAAAATTTTGAATCTCGTTTCCTCGACGCGAGGTAAGAATTACGTTTCTGGATTCAAATTAAGAATAAATAAAAGAAAAAGGATAAAGCTCTAGCGTTGATCAATCCCTAAGGGATGCGTCATGCATTCGACTTCATTAAGTATCGTACAGAGGTAACTGAATGCATATCTAGCCTTTACAATGATTTATGGTGGCCTACCGATGTATCGAGCCAGTGCTGCTATCCTTCCAGACAAGTCTGGTACCAATTTGCCGACCCCGGAGGGATGGAAACCTTGGTGGGCCATGGGCATGGGATCGATTCCTAGTGTATGTTTTAGGGCGCCTCCAACCACTGCGCCATAAGCGCTCTATTCAGATTAAGGTAATAAAATAATGTTATAAAAAAAGTTAATCGTTTTAGTGGCGCTTTACTTACATTCCATTTCATTTCTAAGCCGTTGCACAGTAAATGGTTTGGCATGAGATCCCCGTAGTTTGTCATTGTCCGGAATTCATAAGTGTTCCGAATCCATCCATGGTATAAAATCAGCTTTTGAACATTTCCTTTTTGATCTGCTATGTATTAGTCGTCTAGTAAAGACTAGGCTTTCTATTAGTGATAATTTTTGATGTGTTATATGAGCACTGATATGAGTTTCATGTACGCACGACAGAAATCTCACCTTGACCTTCGCAGAGCTTCTGACAAGTCCTTAAATCATTGAAAATATTCTGTGATGTCGATATGCAGCCATCCCACCAGAAAGTGGCGCAACTTTCCGTTTCATGCTAAACTTTTTATTTACTGCCTGCTCTTTTTAACGGCAGGGTATACATTGTGAAATATAACTTCAATGATGCTGAGATATTTGCAAAACTCCGGACCGCCAGTGTATGCGGTGGGGAACGAACGCGCTATTGTCCTTTCCGGGGAGTAGCACGTTCACCACCACACCATGTGGTTCCTTCGTTTCGCCTGTCTCTCAGCTAGTTCTATCGATCCTTTGCCATCAGCAATCACCCGTCAGCGGGATTGATCTGGGGGCTCAAATCAAAATCAATTAACTGCGGCCTCAGTTTACCCCGCCTTTCACTTCTAACGAAACAAGTGCGGCTATAAAACGTCATATGAAAAGGCGAGTTTAGAAAAATCAGTAGCAGTGATTGAATTGCTATGGAACACTCTAGCACGCCAGCTAGTTCGTAACCGTTTTTATGCTCGTCTATGCACAACGCAAAATTGCATAATTTAGCACAATAGTGGACACGGCGATTGCATGAGTTCGGGTACGGATTACCTGATCTCTCGCAAAGGGTGCGGGAACGAATGCTTTGGCGAAAAAGGTGGATCATTATGTATCCATATGGAAGAATACCTAGACAGTGAGCTTAGTATTGAGCAAAATACTCCACTGGGCGAGCATGGAACACTGACACATAACGGGGAAGACTAAACATTCTGGATAGATTCCAAGAATCAAAAAATAGACCACAGGGATGGATGCCTCATTATCACGCGAGATCTCAGACAGCATTTGAGACTGATATTTTAAAACGATAGCGACACATTACCGCTCCATGTGAGCTTTTTACGGTTAGTCTCCACGTAGAGTACCCAGTGGAAGACCCAAATAGAACGGTGAGTATGCCAAGAAGCTCTTTTACGTCTACTGCTGTTGAAAATTAGGTATTGCGGTTTTTCTGTTGAAGTTGTGAAGATGAAGAAGGCTGGCTAATTTGCGGCTAACTTGATCTTTCCGTGATTTACAGGTAGCGAAATCTGTGAAAACTTCAGCTGCTGTGAATAAGTGCTATTTAAGAATAACCTCGTTTGTGCCAATCAAGGAGAGAACGAAAAAAAAAATCGTCACCTACGTCAAAGAATGCTTTTTCAACCCAATGCCCGTCTCCGCACGACTGTCTGTAGGTCGGATCGAATTTGTCACTACAATATGCTAAAAATGCATATACTAGAATCAATCCATAGAATAGAGAATTGCACAGATCTGTTCGTCTACCGTACTTGGTTTACGCTCATCACGATGTCGCTCGCATATCCATTGGCAAAATTCTAATGTCGGGTAAATGTTGTGACTAGAACCAGGACAATTTCCAAACCTAAATCTCTAAAGCTTATACGAACTGAAAATGAAACGGCCGCTTATCTATGTTTTTATTCTAAATGTGACTTATTTACTGAATTTCCACACTTTCCGCCTATTCGCTTATGTCCCTTATCCAGTTCTTATTTGTTTTCAGATTTAAACACCTTTACTTTCTTTACTTTAACTGTTAACAACAAACCAAAACATTTGACAAGTGCTTGTAAGATGATCAAAATAGTAGTACTCTTTGAAGCGACCATCTGAGGAACATGAGCCGCGATAACCGTCGTCGAACGGCTCAAGACAGGATTCTGAAATGGTTGTTTACTCTACCATCCCTTGTGTACTTGGACCTGGATGTTCTGCATGCGGGTCTCAACGACCTTCCCATTTGATTAGTTAGTAATTTACTTGTTGGGTAAGATTTTTTCCCCGCAGCCCTGAGATGGCTTGCCAGGACGTTGTTAGATCATCACCGTGACGAAAATCGGTTGTTCGATTGTGGACCCCAGGTAGATTTATCATATTAAGACCAGGTTCTTCTACGATGGCGGCGATTCTTGGTATTGAGCTAGTATTTAGCCAGTCTTATAGTTGGATATGCCTATTTCCTATTCCGCTTGAGTAACTGCGCTGGGATTGAGCCTTCCACCGAAGATCGCATGTGGGCAGGAGAGAAACACCGTCAACTCGTAACGGGTGGTAAGGCACTGTGGCGAAGCAAAAGTGTAATTTCTGTAAAGAAATAGTTAGAACGTTGTGTTGGAATGAGCTTGGCGAAAATTTAGGAAAACTTGCGTGCAAACTCTTGCGGCAAAGATTCACATAGCTCTTTACAGCGATTCAGTGTCGTGAAAAAATTTTGCGACAGCGACTGACATCCACCCCATTGAAAAGATTTGCATTCCTTTCTAAAAATTCTACGCTTAAATATCACAGACTTTTCCTTAATGTCTTCTTTACCATTCTCATCTATGTTATGTAAAACAAACCGTTCATGATTAAAGTAATATCGATCGCTGAATTCGCCATGACGACAGTCTTCAAGGTAAACCCAGTCGAATGGATCAAGACACGCTTCTGGAAATAAGGTCATTCAGTGGTCAGCACAAGCTTACAACTTGCCCAACAGTAAGACGAAGTAAGCATATACATGCTAGATAAAATTAACTAATCGTCCTACCCTGCGTGTGTGCTACTTTTCTGTGACACCTTTTGTTTAATTCGCTATTTATACCATTGTTCAAGGCCGCGTGTGACGCAGTGGTCGGAGGCGCCTTGTAACACACACGTGGAATCTATCGGAGTAGATCTCTGCGCTTATGGCCCAACAAGCCTTCCAACTCTACGGGGTCGACAAATTGGTACCAGACTTGTCAGGGAAGATAGCAACACTAGCTCGATACATCGCTAAGCCACCGCGAGCCATTGCAAAGCTCTGCATGCGTTCAGCAGCCTCCAAGTGGTGCCCAATGAAGTCGAATGTATGGCGCATCCCTCAGAAATTGATCAGCGCCGAGAGCTTTATCCTTTTTTGTTTGAACCATTGTTTATACAGTTGTGAAAACGTTCCCTTCTATGTTCTGCTAAAAACGACTGAACTTGACGAGGTGAAACTGTCCTATTTCACATGAAATAGTGGCTTACTTGAAGCCGGCTCAGTATGCTGCCCCATACACCTCCACATGCATGACTCTTGGTTGGCAAAGTCATTCCGACTTGACGAGAAGCACCCGCCATGCCAGTACATCCTGCACACGCGAAGATCTCTGTCGAAGTAATACCTAGACCAATAGACTAAGTATTGAAAAAAAAGAATAATTGAAAGAGCGACATGCTATAGGAATGAATAGGATGAAGTTTCTAAGAACATGCTGCAATTAGTTATACCTTGCCTACTTACTTAGTTTTTCTCCTATGTTTCCATTTAACGCGAAGAATTTAACAAATCAATCTCACCTGCTTGTCCATTCTTTGCCGTCGTCACATGATTTGGTGAGATTTATGTCGAATGGCTCAAGACATTCAGCTAGAATATATTACTCGATTTATGTGAATAAGAACGAAAACGATGATATAGTAGACTTGTTGAAAGCACGATGAAAATCTCAACGATCTGCATTATTCTGCTGGCTACTTTGAACTCTAGCATATTCTGCTTATTTCAGTTGGCGCAAGTGATGTTGTACAAATAGTTTTACATAGTGAAATCAATATAAATGTGTACCTAGTCATCGCTCGGAAAAAGTTCAATTACTTAGTTATTTGATTCCTGAATGACCCGTCCTCAAAGGGTATGCAGGCCCCAACATAATCTCCATTTTTCGGAGATTTGCTGGTTAAGTCACTGTGGTTCCCTGGAATCCCGAGGTCAGCCTGGCCAAAGTCTGCCTCAGGTCTTCACCACGACAGGCAGTCGCAGCCCTTGTGGAACAGAGATTCACCACCATGCGACTTTGATACCAGGACGGTGGTGGATCCTGGTATTGGTTAACTCTTAGCTAGGTTTCCTGATGGAAACACTGCACTCCTTCCCAGCTTGGGAGACTCTGCCAGGGGATGAAACCGCCGCTGAGGATGTAAACCGTTAGGAGGAAAAACTCAAGTACATCTTTGCCAAATTAGTACTCCTCATGAGTTCAACTTATCTTTTCTAAAATCATACGGTTTTTCTCTACGGTGCCACTTCATATTTTCAGTTTAATATAGGTAGGAGTTGAGATGGAAAACAAAAAACGGCATAGCTTTAAGACCCGATATTATCACAGCCGATTTCCTTTGAATTGGAAGCTACAGCATAAATACAGTTCTTGCAAACCATATGACATCCTATCTTCAAAAGGAAGAAACCCAGACTAGCGAGGATATCACGTACGGTTATTCTCTCTATGAAGGACGGTCAAAGAGATCTTCGTGACTATCAACCGACGTGCTTGCTAGGTGTACTCTACAAGCTCGTTACAAACGATATCCTGTCGCGCGTACCAAGGAAATTGGATGAGACGCGACCAGTTGAGCAAGTAGGATTTCTATAGTGATCTTGCTACATGGACCACGTCCAAACTATGTCCAGACTCAGTGAAGTTTGGCGGGAATACCACCTGCTCCTATTCCTGAATTTGGTCTATTCGAATGCAATCTTATAGGCGCTCGTCGACCAGGTAGTGGACCAGTCCCACATAAAAACTCTATCTAGTGTTATTTTGTCGCAAATGCAGTACGAAAGTCATGAAAAAGGAAATCGACAAGGCGACACGATGTCGCCGAAGGTGTTTAGTACCGCACCGCAGTGGGTGATGAAGTCATTTGATTGTGATGAGAAAGGCACACGTATAGATGGAAGATTCCTATCAAACCTTCGCTTAGGCGACGATATCGTCGTTTTTTCAAGAAGTACTAGCGAATCAGAGACGATGATCAATGAGGTCAACGAAGAGAGAAAAAAGATCGGATAACGCATAAATCGAAGGAGAACCCAGTTCATTGAAAATCAATGGCGCGAAGGAGAACAGATTAAACTGGATGGCTTTCTAAGTGCACAGACCACCTCATACTTGTACCTTAGGCGATAAATGAACATAGAAAACAACACGAAGGAGGAACTAGACAAAAGAAGAGGAACAGCTTGGGCCGCATTCGGGCCTCTCCTTGAAGCCACCGACCAACTGAGGGGTCCGAAAATCCGCGCTCATCTCTTTGATTCTACGGTCCTCCCAACGTTGTGTTATGCTGCAGAGACGTGGGCTGGTAATTCAACCAAGTCAAGAAAACTCCACACTACCTACAAAACGCTTGAACAATGTCTTCTAAAATATAGCTGGCAGACACAATATCTGGCCGGAGCGCGAAGCTCTAACCTTCGAAATCTGTCACAACTTCGAGATTCAGGAGAATATATATTGATAGCGAAACATAGATGGGCCGGTCACATAATGAGAAGAACAGACGACAGATAGACGAAAAGAACTGTAGAGTGAGGTCCACGAGGATGCAAGTGTTTCGTAGGGCGACCACGTACATGTTGGGCGGACGTATTTGTAACTAAAGTGATACTCGCAGCCGACATTATGATCGAAGGAATTCACCACCATGGACGACGATTGCGAGGCAAAGAAATGAATGAAAGGCGTGCTGGCGTCCTGACAACTCGTGAAGACGGGCTGTCTAAGTACCCAGGTAAGTATGAATTTTTTCTGCGATTCCAGATTCTAGACAATGGTCATCGCTTGTATTGAGAACGGGCAATATGAAGTGCAGCGACGACAAGCTTGTGAAGAAATAACTCTGAAGTTGGAAAAAGATGTCGCATCATAATACAGTCAGACTTAGAATATTGAATTTGCTATGTAGTCCAAATCGCAATACTAGTTCTTTTCTTAATACCTATTATTATGTTTCCACAAAAGGGCATGATGTGAAACACAACCACTATGAAGCTGAGATATTTGAAAAACATGGATCCCACGCCAAATTCAAACCCACTGCTATCCTTTCCGAAGGCTCACATGTTACCCGTTACAAAACTAAATCCCTTGCTTTCTTTTTCTCTCGGGTAATTTTCTACCTATCGTTGTCATCAGCAATCAACCGTCGATAGGAATGATCTGAGAAGCACAACAAGCCATTAAACCCAGTTAAACCGAGTAGTTATTGTGTAGTCTCAACACTTCCTCTTAAATTTTCATTCCCTTCTTTTGCTGCCAAGCTTCTATTCCCACCCTACTTGTTGATCCTCAGATGATTGAGCTACGTGAAGCTGTATTTAAAAGATTCAGTGAACAAAAAGAACACATACAATATACCATTTTTTTGCTTTGTAGACTCTTTGCTGGTGTTTTTTCTTTGTGAGCCGTCTTAAAACAAACCGCATTTTACGACCAGCGCCTTGTTTTCAATCTTTCCAAAGCCGAGCTTAGTAACTATTCGTATCTATATGTGTTTTACTGCGGAATTGTAGAACAAAAGCAGCAACAACAACGCCGTTGGTTAAAATATTTATTGGACATTTCTCATAGAAAAAACTATTAGTTCCCTACAAAAGCAATACACTTTGTTCCTTGTGAAATCACAACGCTTTCAGTGACCGAAAACAAGGCCAGTGGCAAAAGCACGGTTTATACAACGCAAAATTTAAAAATAACAAAGCAGTATGCTTGCTTAGTGGTGGTGTTAATTCATTAACGCTGGTTGCTTGCGATCTGTAGCGCAGATTAGGCTATTCTGTGTTCTCAGTTCGCTAAGCTGATCAAAACTTTTTCCTGCAATCCCCTTCGTTCTCCCCAACTTCTACCTTTCTTCTTTTCCTATGATTGTCTCCAAGTTTAAGCCTAAAATAGAAGATTATTTAGTCATCAGTAGAGTAATAACTGAATTTCTCTGCAGTGCTGAGCACATTAGTACACTGTTCTGCACTGTTGGATAGCATTGAAACCGCTGAAGCTCGAGAGACGCTCGTTCGGTGTCATTTCTGTGTCATAAGTATCGAACTAGTTCACTGCCCCTAACGTTAAGTCTAGTTTATAGTGACTGTTGCCAGACTAACAATAAAATTAGATACGATTTTTTATCACTTCTTAGTTTCAAGTAAAATAAGCAGTATGTGCCAAGTGAGCTCAAAGCGACAGTAGTACTCGAGAAATGTTGATTCATTGCCAAGTAGACTAATTATAATAGAGCAGTAAATGACAAAAACATACATGCTATGGTGACAGGATGGTTGACAAGCTTACTATAAGCTAAATCTTCTCGATTTTCGTGGTGGCGTTTTATACTGGCCAGTTGTCTTTCGAGATCGGCTTGAAACACTCGTTCATTTGAGATCGTCTTAGCCTTAGCACGGTAGTGTCGGATACCAGACGTAGGACTCTCTATAGCTTCATTCTGCGCTAAATATGATTGCTGTGTGTTTCGAGAAGTTATAGTGCCAGGTGTGCTGTGCAACAAGAAAGATCGAGCTGAGATAGTGGTCATTTCGTGTACAGAGGTGCTTAGTGCGATGTTAGTGCGACCTTTTGAAGCATTATGTGGAACTGTGGTATACTTGCGAGTCTTTCGAACGGCAATCGTGTGTGGCTGCATTGTTGCTGTAGAATAGGGTGCTTTACTAGCGAATTTGTTGGTGAAATTATCCTCTTTTTCCGTTTTTCTTGCCATCAGCGCAGCTTTCACTCGAAGTTTAAGTGATGGCCGGCTGGTGTTTTTTGTGATATAATTTGGCGGGTTGAAAACAACGTTGTCAGAATAGAACAGAGTAAAAGCCTTGCTGAACCGACCAACGGCTCCTGTACCTGAAGCGGTGACGGTGTCTATGGCAGCTGTTCGAGATGTGCGGCTGGGTGAAAAATTCGACGGCAGTTCTGTGGATGATGTAACTCTGGATGTCGTTGCCCAAGGAGACGGCTTTGACACAGAGTTGATCTTGTGAAGGCAACCTTTTCGGCATTCCTATTATGTATTAGCACTCCGTGATAGTTAAATTGTTAAGTACATTAAATGTGTAAATAATTTTTAACGGGAAATACTAGGTTAATTTGGCGACGAGAAAAGTTTGAATAGCTATAAAGGCTCAACAGGGTTGTAAAACCAACTACAAACTATTTGTGGTAGTGGAGACTTTTTGAGCAACAGTTTCTATTGGAATAAACTTTTATAATAATAATAAAAAAACGTTAAAAGCAGTGTCGAAGTGTTCACTCAAACTACCGAGCACTGTTACAAGATGTGCCCGGCGTCTTTCGATGTTACGTAGCCTGTCCTCAGGTGGTTTTCAATGGTTAAACGTACACCGGAAGGGGCCTTAAATTGGTCCTCAGATGGAACCAAAGTGCAGATCTCTTAAATGCTGCGTTGAAGATATTCATGCATATGCCAATGGGTGTGTCTGCACAAATGCTAGTAATATAGTGCAGCTGGATTCGGCAGTAAGCTTGCAAATGTGTGATCAGGATATGACATTAATCTGAACTTGTCCTAACAAAACGCAAGCACCACATATTCTTTGAGGAAACCTAGTAAATTTCCTGCGAATTTTTTCAGCTCCCACGTCTCCATGTTAGACCTCTTTACGTTGTTGGGCATCGATCTTCAAAAGTAACAAAAAATGAAGTGCTTCATAGCAAAACGGCCCCGATATAGCAGTTCGGATAGAACGAGTCTAGAATTACCGCCAAAATCTCAGCATTATTCTAGGACGCGTAAATCTGGGAGAGCCGCAGTGTCGCTCTACAGTTGCAATACATGTACACTAGCAGTGAAAGCTTCTGTTGTTAATACAATCCAAAAAGGCTAAGTAATGAGTCAACGGATACCAAAAGCAAAATGCTTCACCGACCGTACCACGTTTGTGAGTACTGTAGCTTGGAACAATAGAGAAGTTGAAACAGTTACCTACCGCATCGAACCACTAACGAGTCCCAGTATAATGTTCGCCGTATAGAAGATGTGTTCTAACACAGACTACGACAAACATTTTCAACAACTCAACACCATGCTAAAACGAAACCGAGGTTGTTGCTTTCTATAAGCTCTTGAAGAAGCCGAGAGGATCACCAATTCAGAGTTAAGCTTCGTTCAACAAGAATATCTAAAGTGCATTGCATCGAAAATCACGGAATGCAGCAGGTTATCTAAGGTTGTTACGATAAAGAAAGTGGTTCGTGGCAAATCACAAATTCGGATACACTCCTCTCGGCATTTATGCCAACCTGCCTCCCTATCATATCAGAAAAGGTAGACATTTGCACAACGGTTCTCTTCCGAAGGACTGGCTTCTCATCCAGTTCGCCATAACAACACCCCATCTTAGACTTATGTTTTTTTTTTCTGAAGAATAGAGCTTTCATGTTGTTACTCCGTTCGCAATTGGCAAGTGACTATCTCCGAATGTTTAAGCTCGTGGTGTCTTGCACAGATACTGAAAATTAACAAATCGTCTCGCTCGGGAGGTAACCAATAAGAAGCGACGCTCTTGAGAAGTCTACAAAAGAATAAAGGATGCTGTGAAGGCAACTATTAGTACCCGAACCTTTGTTCATCTTTTCGCTTCCGTGAATTGCTCGACAATTAATGGGAGAATAGATGATACGAGGAATCTAATCCTACCATGCCACTTTGTGGAACAATTTATTTGAGGAAACAACTTATGAGCTCAATGAAGATATGCAAGGAAATCAAAGAACACATTCATGATCTTCTTAAAAGTTTTTCCTAAGTTTTTGCTCTTTCGCCGTTTTTCCTATTTTTTTTAAAAAATTTTCTTCCTATTTCCAAGTTTGTAGATACATTACCGAAATTTCTAGAGCTTTTACCTCCATGTTCATCCATAGATTCTTGTTGTTCGTCTCGCATCCGCCCCACCATATTCGCTTGCATCCTTTCTTATCCGGGTCAAAATACGCACGAATTACCCAGTTATCGTCAGCACAATCCTAAACATAACAAGCAGAATGCAAGCAACATATAGCAATGAATCAACATAAAGCAATTTATTAAAAGTCTTAAACCTTTTATTTACTGCCTTTTTCTTTTTAATGGCAAGGCATGGTGCGAAATATAACTCGTATATAATGCTGAGATATTTGCAAAGCTTCGGACCGCAGGTGCATGCGGTGGGGAATGAACACACGCTGTTGTCCTTACCGGGGAGTAGCGCACTTCACCACCACACTATCCGGGTCCTTCGTTTTGCCTGTCTCTTAGCTAGTTCAATCGATCCCGTCGACGGGTGATTGCTGATGGCAAAAAGATCGATAGAACTAGCTGAGAGACAGGCAAAACGAAGGACCCGGATGGTGTGGTGGTGAAGTGCGCTGCTCCCAGGTAACAGCAGCGCGTGTTCGTTCCCCACCGCATACACCTGCGGTCCGGAGTTTTGCAAATATCTCAGCGTCATCTTAGTTGTATTTCAATGTATTTAGTCAAAGTAAGCACCAATAGAATGTACGCTTGTATACCAATGGCATATAGGTTCCTAAATTTCCATTTCATGAAAGCCTTAACGCTCCCACTTCACAATTTCATAGTGGCTGTGTACCGATATGGGGTGCACAGATTGTCTTCGGTAGAATTGATAAAATCATGATTAAGACTTTACTTGCCGTTGAAAATTCCATCCTTAGGCAAGTGATCTGAATGTCTAAAAATATATAATTGGATTGAACCAAGGTCCGGAGAGTAGGCAATGTACGGAATTGTCTCATAGTTCAGCTCACTCAGAATTTGCGGCTGTGATCCGCCAAACATGTGCGCAACTTTGATCGAGATTTTCATAACTAACAAGTAGGATGACTTTGTCGTGGAAGGTCAGCAAACTGAAGAAAAGAAAAGTGGATTAATGTTGTTCAGATAAATACTGATGATTATGGTCTTTTTGCTTGCCAAATAGGATTTCCCATGAATCCAGCGGATGGCTTCAAATTGCCGAGGATCCATTTTTCTAATTTGACATCACAATAGAATAAAGTGACAGGCTGAGAGAGCACTTTGTAATGCACAAATTGGTGCAGCTCGTCGGCCGAGCATTCACCATGAAAACAACAGTGCACTATGGACTCGAAGCAACGGTTATTCGCACAGGTAAACAAATTTGTGTGCAGGTTCGGCTTTGATTTGAGATATGGCCTCATTTATCCACATGCTCAGTGCTTGCCTAGCACACCATGGTATTCTGTAATAACCATGTTAGGCCGTTTTCAGGTTCTACATGCTTGGTATAGTGGTTGGTGCCCACATTAATCGGAGTTGGATTCGCTGCCTAGCTTTCAGGATTCCTCCAGGGCGACAGCAATTCCTCAGATCAGCTTACAGACCTACCTAGGACAGCTTAACAAACTGAGACATCCAAGGTTTCCTACCGAATAAAAGAACCTTTCAAAAAAAACCGCCTCTGAGTCTTAAATTGGTAGGCACATAGTTACTAATTGGAAACGTGCGAGGATACGACCACTAGTTGCATAGCACTAGTAAAATTTAGCATCGCCGTAGTATCCATGCTTTCTAAACTTAGTATATCATAAAACTTAGAAATGAAATGATACAGATCAGTGATTGTGTAGATCGCAATCACTAAGTGATGAATCAATGAGAATGAAGTTCTCAATTCTTGTAAGTTTTGATGTCCAGTATTAGAAAAATATACAGCTAATTAATCGTAAACCTGATGTAAAAGACTTCGATGAGTCAAATCGTCTGCTGCTCAGTATCACGAAAAAGCATGAATTCTCAAATTTTATGCAATAACCATTTAGTTTACTTTTAGATATTTTATCTAATGTTTATAAAACCATCTACCTCATCCCATTTCGGGTCAAACCCTTCGCCGCAGATATGTCCAGATGTATTAGTTTGGCTAGTGCCGATTGTGGAGGACTCATTACCATCAGTAACTCCACTGGACACAATGGATGAAATCCCAACGACGTGCGTTTTCAGTTCCGCAGACACATCCGAAGTGGTAGTGGCCGTTGCTGCATCTGTGGAAGAGAGACTAACTTCAGAAACTACTGGAGACACCGGTATGAATGAGGAAGGCGAAATGACAGGCCATAGCATTGATGGCATGATATGATGGTGAGGATGAGGAGCATCTTTCTGCATGAACATCTTGTGTCCACATGTTGTCCGACAACTCTGAATAGAAAGGGACCATTAATACGTGTTTAAAAACATTCCTCGTAGAATCATACTGTTTCTTTCTTTTATGTAAAATTCTCAAGGAATCTTACCTCAATCGAATACAAAATCTATGAGGGGTTAACCATTAGTCTCTAGAACGTTCAGTGAAAATGAAAACATCTTCTCTACCAAAAACCGGAAATCGCTCCACCTTAACATCACCGAAAAAATTTCGCGCATCAGTCTCACATCCACCATACCAGAACGATTTACAGGTACCACGCTCGCTGTTGAAGAACCACTTCAATTTCTGGAACGTAATTAGGTATTGACTCAAAAGATGAAACACCAGCTTCGGAATGATAGGCCTACAGACTCTCGTTTCTGAACGCTAGATTGCATTTTTAACGAGCATTATTCCTTGAGAAAACCTGAAAGGCGACATTGCTTGGGCATTTTCCAATAAGTGAATTTGAATCCCTTTAAACTTTTATTTATTATTACTAAAACACTTTCTTAAAAAAAGAATCAACAGGAAAAACATTGTCAAAAATTTGAAAACGAGGATAAAATTTTCACGAACCCAATGCTCATTGCTACAGTCCTCTTCAAGTTTAGGATCCAACAGTTCGTCACATAAATCTTTGAGACGCGAGAAATTTCCCGACATACGTTGAACCTAAACAAAGCGGTCATGAATGATGAACTGTTCTTCTGGATTACCACCTCTTGGTGAATAAAAATTCAATAAAAATTCTCTACGGCTTTGTTTTCGGACTCGATGCTGAGTGCGGCAGTCGATGTTAAAGCGCGAACATTTTGTTCACGAGGCCATGCTGCTCGTCCTTCTTCCAAAGAAGAACCGTTTGTAACAGCATGAACGCTTACCAGTTCATGACTTTCCGAACGGTGTTGCTTCGCTTTTTCCTGAGCCACATCCTCCACAGTCGGTGCCGGTATCGATGCTTCGTCGGACGACGACGGCGAGTGAGCGAACGATGGCGATGTGGGCTCGAGTGACTCCGAAAAATCTACTTTCGTTCTCGTAATGTAGCCTTCGGGAAAAGCCATCAGTTTCTTTCTGAACTCTTCCGCGAATTTGCGCTTGTCGAACTTTTCGATACCTGAATAATCTCAGATCACGTATGTTAAACTCAATTTCATTCAAACAACTAATATCTTTGCACAGCATTATTATTGGTAAAAAATTTTACACACCTATGTATGTGTTGGTACAAGCATTCCTATACAATGTGTATGTTACTAGCGCAAAACTGTCTGACATGGAAGAAATTCTTTTGTTGAGTACGCAACTAGTTGCTTTTTTAAATCTTTTTACTTGTAGAAGGATATTAACTTTTCAAAAAAACAAAAATATGCCAAAGCTAAAAATCCCAAACAAATTAGCTTTTTCTGAACAACCAAGGACTAACGATATTCGGCTAAAAAATCCCTTGACTCTCTCTAGAGCGCACTTATCAAGCCAATTAGACACCGGTTTGTAGCGTGTCTGAAATTCAGTGGAATTCTGGAAGCAGCCATACTACTTTGCTTGATACATCGTCTTTATGAGGTCGATTAATTAGAGGATCCGCTGCTTTCAAAGTAATCGCTCCCTAGTCTGAAGAATTCGCATGGCAGCGAACAATCCTCCGAGCCGCCTTGCAAGCACCGCTGGTTGCGTCTGGTTAGGATATGAAAGCACTTAAGGACGGAATTTTCATGATATTGGAAAAACCTGCATTCAACTAGCCTTCAAAATGTGAATGAGCAGAAGTGACAGACCCGAAATCGCACTCACAACCGAATCCTACTATTTCCGAAGCTGCAAGACAATGAAACGGAAGAGAAAAAATGCTTGTCGTCTTCTCCACATGTGGAGACGAATTACTTAAGTAAGCAAACAAGTAACTTGGTTCGCTTTGGGTTTCCTTTTCCAACATAACTGTGATCCTAATGAAGTTGATCTCGCTACCACTGTTTCAAACAACAAGCGACTCGATTTTCATTAATAGTCGCGTATATTCGTATATTTTTTGACAGATTGCCGAGCAGAGCTTTAATTAATAGCCTCATCACAGCAGACATTGTCCCAATCAACAAGCGTTTTTCTACATGTCATAACGTTTGAAATACATCGAAAAAATATGTCGATGATTGAACACTAGCTGACACGTAATCACCGTCATGAGGATTTTCTCATGTCCCAAACAAGTGATCCTCATCGTTTAGGTTCCGATTTAAGGAGCACGATCACTGTATCCAGACCCAACTCGGTAGAACGATCTCCAACAGGTCTGGCAAAGTCGCTCTTATTCATCGCAATGAAATTTTTCTCATCGATTTTTTTCGAGCTTGAAGTTAAGGTGAGGAGCTCTGGCGAATGTCTAATTTAGTGAGCCTCGAGCTCTCGTACCCTAACATATTTGCTATTTATTGAGTCGAACAGCGTTTCCACATTATAAACACTCAAATTCTCGCATTAAGCAGCTGATAATGAAACAATTTTCCACAACAATGGTGGTAATTTCCAATGATGCTGAGATATTTGCAAAACTCTGGACCGCAGGGACCTGCGGTGGGGAACGAACGCGTTATTCACCTTTCCGAGGAGTAACGCGTTTACCATCACACCATGCGGGTTCTTCGTTCCGCCTGTCTCTCAGCTAGTACTATCGATCTCTGTCATAAGCAATCACCCGTCTGTGGGATTGATCTGGGGATCCCACGATCGATAAAACTAGCTCAGAGACAGGCCAAGCGAAGAACCGCATGTTGTGGTGGTGAACGCGCTACTCCCCGGAAAGGACAATAACGCGTTCGTTCCCCACAGCAGACACCTGCGGTCCAGAGTTTTGCAAACATCTCAGTATCATTGAAAGTTATATTTGGCAATATACCCTGCCATCAAAGACAGTAGGCAGTAAATAATAAGTTAAAAATCGTGGTAATGTTCCGTGAAAGTGACTCTTGTTGATGAATTAAAATGTCCGTCAACAAGACACCTCCGAAGAAATAGAAAAATACTTAATCACCAACCGTATGCTTTCGCCGTGGTGTGAGGTGTCGATATAGTGACTGACATGGGTAGCCATGATTTCACTCGCTTTTTGTATCCTTTCGGAAATGAGTTCAATTTTTTTCTGAACTCTTCCATGTACTTCATACGATCGAATGTTTGCGTAGGCGTTTTCGCCTCAAAATTGCTGACTTCGTGCTGGTGAACAGCAATTGTTGCATGAGTGACGACAGAAGTCAATTCTAAAAATGATTTATTATGCTCAATCTAGATTTTTCTTTCGCCCTTTTAAAATATTTAAGAGGGGATAAGCTTGAAAAAATAATAAGCATTGTATTTTTTGTACTTGGCTCTTTATTTCTTTTTGATTCTTCTATTTGACCTTTTTATCACCTTATTAAGCTCACATTTGTAAAGACAAATTCCATCGCAACAGTAGAAATGCAAAACACAAGTTATGCTATTCTATTCCATATTCTGAACCAAGTATAAAATATATGAAACGGAATAAAAAATAACCAATCCGAGCTAGTAGAAGGACCTCTATCAGTTTCCTTTTCAGTGTGTTAACTAGCTTGAGATAAGGTTAAACTTCGCATGAAGAAAGAAATGAAAACGGTTTTGCATTAATGTTTGTCCTTAATGGCTTTTCATTCAACAGTGACAACAAGGAGTTCGTTTGGGTGAAATGTTTAAGCATAGCACACTTCACACACCAAAACGTTCATTCAGGCGAAAAATAATGCTATATTTCTGGAAAACTAAAGAAACGGAAGCTAAAAATAAAACCGAGTTTTCAGCGAATTTTCATCAGCTATCAGCAAAGAGTTAGCGAAGAAGAATGTTTCACAGAAAACCGATCTAGCACAATGATGACGGACGCGACGCCGATACGCTGGAGCATTACGAAGTCGATATACAGTACATTATTTTAATTTTTTACGTGACCTTCTATAGCCTTTCATCCACGCTTCATCCATCCTTCCATCCATCCATCCTGCACTATTCGTTTTCTCTCATCCATCATTCACGAAAGTCTTTGAACTTTTTGTGCGCGGATTCATTCGCTGTTTGAGGATTTCGTGATCGAGTCGTTCCTCCTTGTAGTCCTGAGATAACCTGGCTAAAGCGTTACCACTTTATATTATAGACAGTAGTCTTCTCACAGACAAAACTTTTAGCAGTTTCCTCACTGTTGAGGGATGAGCGGCTTGGTGGGCCTGGAGCGGGATAGAACCAACACCGTTCTTATGTTAATAGGCACCACTACCTCTGTGCCACAACGGCCGTTGTATATAGGTTATACCAAGTTAAATTACATGCATTGATCAAACAAAGACAAAAGTAGCGACTCCATCGCATGTCCTACTCTAATACCATGCTAATCAGTCATTCATAACTACTCGAAGCTGGAACTAAATGCAAAAAAATGGAAGGAGAATAATAAAAGCGTGATCCAAGATCCAAAGATTCAGGAAGGAATCACCAATTATTGTGCGTGTGATATAGCCCTTCCTGTGTGAGCAATTATTTTGAAGACCGATCTATGAAACGAAGCAATACTTAATCGGTTTGGCAAAGAAGCATGGGACACTAACCAAGAATTGCATGTCAATGGATTTCATGCTCCATATATATGCATATGCATTTCATGCACCATATATAGAGAACCTTCCTCTTGAAAAGTTCTCTAACTAACTAAACAATAGTATTTGATGTCTATACCATAAATGTCTCGCAGTCGCACACCAGATACCGCAATGTAACCTTTATAATCTACTCGGTCATCTACGTTTCAGTGTTTCAGGTACAATAGCGGTTCAGGTTTGACCTTAGTCGCACCGCAACGATGGCTTATCCGAGAGAGGAGGCGTAGCAGTAGAACAGTTTACTACTTTGTTGTAAAACAACAAAACCAATGACGTTTGATATTTTAGCCAGTTAAGTATAGTCTCTTGCAGTCCGGGATCAGCAATCCAGATCGGCCGCGGTTGCATATGCACGCGGCTCTCTCAGCCAATATAATCCAGGTTTAATTACCAAAGTCTGAAGATGGTAGATCAATGCAACAACTAAAAGACCCGCGTGGCTAATATTCTACATGATTTGAACCGCCCACTTCGCCGCTAACTATTCGTTACACCATATGCTGGTCGCCAAAGAGTTGTGATTCTTCCGAAATACGCACAGTACATGAAGACTGGTCGAGGATTTTTATAGCTATGTATGCTACGCATACGTGTCGATTTACCAATTTTCCAAGCAATACATTCAAATCGACATTGGCATTAACTGTTGACAAATATGAAAAAACTACAAATTTGACGACTACGGAGGTCTAGAACGTTTGATTGGCTTAGTAGGGAGATAACCAAAAACTATGGTGTTGCCACCTTAGCGTCTCTAATTCATTCGGCAAACGTTTTCAGATTGTTCTATGTTGGTTGGACGATTTAAAACTACTGATCTCTCGGCTTCTTGCATACGCTACAGTTCTAAGTCATAATTATTGTGTAACAATTAGAAACCAAAACTGGCCAGATGCACAATAAAGATACGTGGTAACAACAACGTATTTCTAACAGTCGACTGCAACCCTTTTGCTAAAAGACTCTGTTGTACTTCCAGGAAACTACCCACTGCTCATCGCTTGTCTAGTTTAATTTGCAAGATTACTGAGTCAAAAAATATATTTCGACAGAATTTCACACATATGCGATATTAAGCTTACCAGCGTCCTTTCTGGGTTCCAGTAGTCCAAAAGGGTCATCTGGAAAATAGGTGCGTCTTAAAGAAAATGGATCGATTGTCGGGACGCTGTAGACTTCTTGCACAGGAGTTGATTCTGCGAAATAGATTTTCTGTCGTTCGCTTGAGATAGGATTGAGCGATGTCTGTACGGTAGTGATGACACTGCGAGCTGAGCAAACGTTCTGGCATAAATCTAAGAATTCGAAAAAGTTCTTCTCCTGGACAGCTTCTGGATCACATGAACCATCGTACCAAAACGGTTCACATTCCTAAATACTGTTTAACTTTGCTCCAATGCTCCTTTTTAGTTTAATTAACCTCTCTGGTTTAGTGGTTTTTTATAAGCTGCCAAGGAATCAAATCTTAACAGCGTTATGAATAGGTGGCATGCAACTACAGCCATTAGTTACCAATGAGTAATTATTCAAAAAGGGTTGCCTAACCGTAGCCAATGCAACTAACAGTTTATGAGCGAGCTATGAGTGGCTGATCAACTGTTTGGTCAAAGTTATTCAAGAGTAACGGAACAGCGAAACCCCACAGAAGTAACAGCACGCAAAAATTATAGCCGCTTTCGATTTCAAACGAACATTCTTCAGCTCACAGTGAATTTATTGGATTTAACAGAAATTACTGTAAGCTACCCTAAAAGTGCGATCTCTTGCTTTACTACAGTGAAATTGGTTTTAAAGAACAGGGTTAAAAGGGTTAAAAGAAAGAGAGATTAGAGGTGATGTACTCGCCAGATCATTCTGTAGGCGAGTGATTGCTGACTGCACCGTTAAGTAGAAAATTCAGTTGAGAGAGAGGCAAAGCAAGGAGCTCAGCAGTGGAGTGGGTAACACGTATGCCCCAGAAAGGGTAGTTGCAGATTCAAATCTGGCCTGGAACCCAAGTTTCGCAAATATCTCAGCATCGCTGCTAATGCATTTTACATAAAATAGTGCCGTGGAGAAATAATAGACAGTAAATGGAAAGTTAAGCAATTAGGAAAATTAAACACTATAGTGTCGACCACAGCCTCAGTTTAAATGGGCTCAATGTCAATTTGTGCTGCCCAGATCGCTCCCATTTTACGGGCGATTGCTCATAGTATCGCTAGGATAAAAAACTGGTTGAGAAAAACAAGAGGATGATGCCGTGGGTAACGCGTGAGCATCCGTAAGGGATATTCGCAGGCTCGAATTTGGCGTGGGGCCCAAGTTTTCAAATATCTCACCAAATTGTTGCTGTATTTCACATAATACTCTATCATGAAAAAATAATAGGCAGTAGATAAAAGGTTAAACATTGTTTTTAAATAATTTGCTGGCTGAGGGTTTCTTCGTGCATGTCATGGATGTCATTGAATAATTGTCGGGTCGATTCTCCTTCGAATAATGAGACAGCCGAGCTAATGCGTTTCACGTGGATTAAAGGTGTGGGCCTGTTTCAGAGACAAGTCTGGTATCAATTTCATGAACCCGGAGAAATGAGAGGGTGGATTAACTCGGGGCGAGTACGAAACCAAGGCATGAATAAGTTGGGCCCTGCATGAAATGGGCAACATGGTTATCACTGTGCATTCCTCCCGCTTATAAAAAGTAGGACAAAAGGTTGTCTGCAGTAAAATGTAAGGTTGAAAATAAAATGCGTTTTATGTGACGCACCCCTACCAGCTTGCACGAAATTCCACGCTAATTCCATGTGGTGAACTTCACATCAATGAACCATCGATGAACTCAAGCAGGAAAATGTGAAATCTCTGCTGGATGTACGCCAGAACTAGCTAAGCTTCCCTCAGTCGAAAGATATGAGAAACATTGAAGTTGCCCGATGATTTCACTTATTTTTGCGAAAACCATGAACCGCCATATCGGGCCACCTCATGGGTAGATAGGCAGGTATACTCAATCTTAGCTCTCCTAAAGCAGAAATTGAGGTTGTTTTCCGAAACTCTAAACGAAACTCCGAACCATTTACACTGTACTTTCTAGCAAATTTGCTGCAGCCTCATGGACTAGTCCTAGTACAACATGCAATACTATTCGCACATGCAAGCGCAGTCTTCCCATCAAACATAGAATATACCTCGGGCAACCTATCATAGTCGGTACAAGTAGCCCATCCCATAGATGAAACATTACAGAAATTCGGCACCGGCGTTTAGAAACATTTGTTTTGAAATGTAGGAATAATTTTTGACAACATTTCACCGGAAAAGCTTCGTCAAAGAACGCCTCAATCACGAGCTTTCGACTATTTTAAAGTGCAAAGGCATGACTTTCTTGACGAACAAGTTAAAATGCTGGAAAGTTTACAGAAAGTCATAGATTTAGATTCGTTGGAGCATCAAAGACAAGTTCTTAAATTTGCGAAACGTAGACATCTTCCATGATATGTTGATGTTTTCCCTATAGTTAGTGTTCGCGACTTTTCCACTCTGTTTCCGTGTTGATGTCTAATATTAAATGAAATAACAAAGACAGACGAAGAGAGAGAAGAGAGAGAGAGAGAGAGAGAGAGAGAGGATTCAGTGGCGAACACCCGATACTGAAGAGGGTTATCTAACAACTCATTTAGTAAAACGCTAACAACAATTTGTACAAGGCCGCAATTTATTTGAGGCTAACTAAACCAGAAACAATTCACGAAGAGAACTATGTAGCTGGAGAACGGAAGTGAACAATACGTTTTTAGAACCTGTTTTTCAGTGTTCCAAAAAAATCGTTCTACCCAGGAGGCGTCGATGCACTCCAGTCGAAGAACTTCATCGAAAATTTTCGCACATTTAGCTGAAAAAGAAGATGAATGGTTAGCAAAAATTAATAGTTCTGAAAAAGAATCGTGTAGCACAGAATCACAATGACTTCATTTTGTTTAACTTTTATACGATTGTGAATAAATAGGTCTTAGCTTAAATTCATAAAGCACTGTACTGATTGCTCCAATATTGTTTTCATATTTAACCTTTTAAAGACAAAATAAAGGCCAACCCTCTTCCGGATTTACCGACACAGCAATAGAAGCGTAAGTAGAAGTAACAATGGCAGTTGTTGCTGGAGTGCTCGTATATGGTAGTTGAGTAGAACCTGAAAACCGTAAAAGTAAAACTAAAAAGCTTAAGAGCACATTAGTTAAGCATTTTGTAAAATAAATAATAGGTACCCCACTTAAAATCATGGACTTTAGAATGCCAACTCAACTCGTGCTAATCACGACAGATTGAAAGAATAACTACTAAGTAATATGTGAAGATAATGAACCCAATAACAAATATTTACTAAGGAATTTGGCAACGAATTAAGAAAACATATAACTTTACCTTGCTTTGGTCCAATACTTGACTGAACCCAAGGACTCAGTGACGCATCCAATGGTATGAATTTGCGACCACCAGCACATAAGTTTTCGCATGTCTGAAAGAAAGCATGTACAAAGTAAATAAAGTACTTGGCTAACTTAGGACGCAAGGTCGAGCCATGTACCTAATCATTAGGAAATTAATATCGATTTCCTAACCTCATTATTCTCGTATACGTTCTAGCAAGAAGTACTGCTATCAATTGCTCCAAAACACATCCACTGCCCTATCGCTTGATATAATTGGTAAAGGATAAAAAATAAAGCTTTCGGTGCTAATCAATCCTTGAGGGATGCACCATGCATTCGACTTCATTAAGCATCAATCGGAGGTGATTGAATGCACATCTGGCCTTTACAATGCCTCGCGGTGGTATCCCGATGTATCGAACCAGTGCTGCTATCCTCCCAAACAAGTCTGGTACCAATTTGCCGACCCCGGAGGGATGGAGGGCTTAGTGGGCCATGGGCGCGAGGATCGATCCCACGTGTGTGTGGCAGGGCGCCTCCGAGCACTGCACCATACGCGCCCTTGATATAATTCATAATAGTATAGATATAAGTTTATGTCACAACATAGATTGTATTTGTGACAGGCTGGACGGTTTAGAAATTGAGATATCAAAACAGCGAAATCGACAAATTCAATTTTACGAGTTCAAACTTGAATACACGCGATGCGAAAGGGTCGAAACATTAACATGGGTCAAAAAGTGTTAATTAACAAGCATGTCCAAGTTGATATTAAAAATTCTGTCGCCGTGAATTCAAGGTTGAAGATTATGCAGCTCGCTAACGCGTTTCTGCTACTAACGGCGGTGAATTGTGGGCTACGTGTAAGAATGTACGCGCACAACTGTTCGAGAACTTGCAGAGAACCTTGGCGTAAGCATGACGAGTCTTTTAGAGCATTTAAAAAGCACTAGGAAATAGAAGAAGCTCGACAAATAGATGTCGCATGAATTTAATAACAAACTAAGAAATCGTCGCATTGAGGTATCGTTGACGTTCCTTCTGCACAGCCAGAACGGCACGTTTTTCGACCGTATTACTCGTTGTGATGAAAAGTGGACCCTTAATGACAACCAGCGACGATCAACTCAGTTGTTGAATCGCGCTGAAGTTAAGCAGCACTTTACAAGGTTGAAATTGCACTAGAAGATGGTTATATTAACCGAAAGACTGGCAGATAAAGTCTTTATAAACCTCGTGTTAGGCAAAAATACGTCAAAAAAAAGTAAAAAACAAATAAAAATATTCATACCAAGATTAACAGAGGGTTTAGTCATAGCGCGGATGAAGGAAAGCCGGCTTTTCAAATATTGCTACGCTCTGTGTTAGTCAATGACAATATTGAGTGCTAAAGGATGGATCATCCGAAGAAAAACAGAAGATTACCAACGAATAATCAGTTACCAAGGTTACCAATGAACAGTGCCAGTAGCCGGTGTAAAAACACAATGAATTCATTCGAACGGTGCTGCGCCGGATTCGATTCGATGCGATCATGAGACCCAATATCGCTAGAAGGAAAACTGTAGGCAATCGACTCGGATCAATTTGGATCTGAAGAAAGCCATGGCGTCGAAACATTAGCAGGGTAAAGTTTTTTTCAGCAAACCCCTGCTATCTTATCAATGGAAAAACACGTATCTATTTGCCACATTGACCGCTTGGCAGTGTACATATGGGTTGATGGACCATAGACTCTTTCCTTTGAATTGAATAATTACTACGGAAAAGTACGTCCGAGAAACTGACGGAATGCACCATGAACTTCGACGGCTGTACCCCTCGCATTGGTCAACACAAGGGTATGAATCCTTCCTCACGATAATTAGCAGCGAAGAACCGATGCTAGAAGAGTTCTACGAGTAGGACCACGAAACTCTGGACCATAGTACTCTATTTCATCCTCCATGCTCAACAGACCTTTCGCTTACCGTCTCTTACTTCTTCAAGCATTTCAAAATCGCTCTTTGCGAGAAATGTTTCAGAAACCTAGCCGAAGCTGAAACCGTCACCGACGAGTTTATCCCCCAAAAGCTCAGATTTTTTAGCAGTTGATATATGCAAACTAGTTTCTCGTTGACAAAAATGTGTAGATTCCAGTGGACTTTTTTCGATTAACGAAATTTATTCGGAGCTGAGGAATGTCGATTTAAACGTACAGGTTGAGGTCCGACACTCATTTCCTGAGGACCTAGAGTATTCCTGCACGAGACTTGACACCTCTATCCACTACACCTGTACTTGTTTACTGGGTTTATATTAAAACATTTTGGAAACAATCACTACCGAGATTACGAACCTCCGGATCGGGAAAGATATTCTTTGACTTGTCCACACATCCACCATACAGAAACTGCCGGCATACATTGGCCTCACGATCGTAGTAGTATCTGGAATTATCAACACTACCAGTCAACTACTATTTCGAGTTTCATCGCAAGGAAAAACTTGAAGTGGAATCTGAAATTTGAGACCTCTTCTTTTTGTTTTCGTCTAAAAATAAACAAGAACTACGAGCTTTTACTATAAAATGCTGTAGATAAGCAACAGATTAAAAATAAACCAAAGCATTTGACATTCAGTTAACAGAGATTGTTTTACTTCAGCGCAGTGTTCCTGGACAGCTCATTTTGAAGATATATCTATATATAAGATATCGGGCTCTTGAGCAAAATCAACAATGTGATGAAAACATGTAACACTATAAAAACGCAGAAATATGTGCAAAACAGATTAAATTTAATGGATGATTACTGATGGAACCGATAGGGTAAAACACGACTGAACAAAAGACAAATTGGGCCTCGATTGGTGTGACGGATAGCGCGTGAGAATACGGCAATAATAATCGCGAGTTCGAAACACGGCTGACATTCCGACTTTTCCTCATATCTCAGCATCCTTACGCTTCTATTCCACATCCTACCCTGCCATGAAAAGGGAATAGGCAGTAAATAAAACTTAGAACAGACAACACTTTCTTCTGTAAAAGTATGAATGGTGGTGGATACGCCTGCACACTGTGATAAATGGTGATGTCCAGAAAAATTGCGTTGGAAATTTTCTTTCCCATAGTACTTTTGTTTTGTCTGATATATCACTTTTTAAATAGCGTCGCATGCAGAAGTTCTGGTCAAAAACGACAAGAAAATAGGTTAGGGGTGCACGTGAGCAGAAGGAAGCCGCCCGTTACAGAATAACAGCGGATTTAGAACGAATGTGGAGATGAAGCAACCGCTTTCAACTTAGTGGGATGGAGTAGCGCTCATTCGGAAGTGACCTATACTAATGTCATTTTCTGCCTAGAAATTGTGTCCTGGTTCGAGAATTTGCGCTACAGAGACCATTAACTATTTTTTAGACTGCGCTTCATAAAACCATCAAAGAATCGTCGCTTACATTGCACATTTATTGCCCTTCATATATACAGTCGAGTTTCCAATACCAGTTGCACAACTTTGATACACTTTAGATATACCTTTAAAAAAACACAAAATATCATTGGTCTAACTCTTTCCAAAACCACCAACAAAGTTCTTTATCAGTGAGAAGGGAATTTCAGTGGTTGCCGCACAGTGTACAAAAGCTATTGTTAATTTCTGAAGTCATATCCCTTATTAATTACTTGGACCAAATATTTGTGAATATAATCTGAAAGCCTACTGGCATCTGTTCCTTAGTACTCTGCAAAAAAATCTTGCCAAACCAGCAACACGCTAAGCTGAGGGAAATTGTGCTGCCGCCCGTGCGATTATTCATGACGCGCCATGTAGATATTAGGTGTATTCTTTTCTTGTATTCTAATACTAATGATTGCCATTCTACTTCCCAGTTAACTTTTCCGTCAAGTTCTACTTTTTTCACGTTAACTACATTAATTTATTATAATGCTGAGATATTTGCAAAACTCCGGACCTCAGGTGTATGCGGTGGGGAACGAACACGTACTGTTGCCCTTACAGGGGAGCAGCGCACTTCACCACCACATCATGTGGGTCCTTCGTTTTCCCTGTCCATCAGCTAGTTCTATTGATCTTTTCCCATCAGCAATCACCCGTCAACGGGATTGATCTGGGGAACCCAAATCGGCATTGAACCCAGTTAAGCTGAGGCTATAGTTATAATCAATCAATCTTTTTAATAGCAGGGCAATAGCACGTTCGTTCCCCACCACAGACACCTGCGGTCCGGAGTTTTGCAAATATCTCAGCATTATAATAGTTATGTTTCTCAAAATACCCTGCCTTAAAAAGAATAGGCAGTAAATAATAAGGTTAAGATTACATTAATTTACTCTGTAACATCTTAGTGATTACTAGCGTCTACCTTAGCTCCTGCAAGCCGTTGTTACAATCCTCCTCCGTGTAACGTACATCGAACATGTCGTCACAAGCGTCTGAAATATATTACTGTGATTGGCAATATAGACAAAGAACGGAGTCTTTTCGTCAAATCCACCAAGCCTGGATAGTTACTATTTACTGTGAACATCAAAACCATGAAATTAATATTTCCTTAAATTTTCCACGGTATATGCCGCAATAAGGGCGTATGTGGCGCAGCGGTTTGAGACGCTACTGCGACACACACATGAAATCGATCCCCGCCCCCGTGACCCACCAAGCCTTCCATCCCTCCGAGGTCGGCAAATTGGTACCAGACTTGTCTGGGTGGATAGCAGCTCGATACATCGGTAGGTCACCGCGAGTCATTGTAAAGGCCAGATATGCACTCAATCACCTCCAAAGGATGCTTAATGAAGTCGAATGCATAGCGCATCCCTCAGAGATTTATTAACGCAGAGAGCTTCATCCTTTAGCCTTATATGCCGCAATTATATAATTACAGACCCTCTTATAACTGTTCACTGCAATGTATATTGAATTATGAATAAAAGTTTAAGAAACAAAATCATTTTCAATTTTCACTTCTCCAAACCATAACTTCCTGGCAGAGGATCACTTTTAAAAATGTTCTTACTTTACACCGTTCATCAACTTTCCAAATTTCCATTTTTGCGCTTTGTAAATCCATGAAATTACTCTAGATCTCGAAAAAATCAAGGATCGATCAAACCGTCTCAAAAATCATTACTCATTCTTTCTACATCGCTGCTTTTCCTATGCAGCACGAAATGGAGGACTTGTTGACGAAATCGTATGGAGGCGTTCCTGACCTCTTCTTATCACACACTGGCCGTCATCGCTGAAACCGAAACCGCACTCGCAGCGGAACGAACCGACTGTGTTCACGCAGCGCGAGTTCGCCGGACATACCGATCCAGTTCGACATTCGTTTACGTCTAAATAATCAAACTGTATCTCTAACACATCTGTCAACGCTGCTTAGTCTTTTTTTGCATTTTCCTTTGTCAAAAAACACGGCGGTATGCAGCTGAAAACTTTCCAAGTGTATACATGGGTAATATCTATATCTTATCAGACAAGACACCGTGACAACGTATCGGTTATAATGCATTTTTCCGCGCACTTTTAGTTTCATAAATAAAGATGCCTTAGCACCAAGTTTATTCGGTATTTTAAAAATTGTTATAAATATATACCAATACAGATATTGCCCAGTGCCCGAAATCCGTCTATGCAACCACACTTATTGTTTAGACATAAACCATAAAGTGGATCACACTGGGGACAACCGCTGACATCGGGGATTGCCTGTAAGTAACGAAAATATTGGAACAACGCGAATTCGTTGGTATACACGATCAGTAAGATTGGTTTGCTTTTGTCGGAAACGCCACTGAGTGCTTGTTCGCGAAGACAGTGAAAAATATGTCTTACTGGTTAAATTTGATCCTGCTTTTTTTCGCAATACCCATTGTTCACTGTGAAGTGATTCCGAGTCCACTTGTTTACTTCTCCATTGTGGTTGGCTGGTGTATTTGGGTGCTGACCTACACCGTTAAACGAGACAGGAATTCAGCCAAGCATGCTCAAAAGGCCTTTGATATCAATCTGTGGATATCTTATCGTTAGAATAGCTAAAACCAAAGGCTTTCATGCGAAACGTGTACTGTACTCTCCTTGTCCTATGGGCAGGTATAGCTCAGGTTTTTTACCTAGGCATGATAAATCAAGTTTATTTTTGCCCGCTAGAGTTACTCAGTGACAAAACGAATTACTTACGATGCTTTTGACACGGTTTTTCCTATCTTTTATATGCAATGGGTTAGCTATTACAATGACGCTACATGAACGAAATGAAAAAGTTTAACCTCACCTTTATTAGACTCCAAAGCAAAGAATTCATTTCAAAATATGCGACATTAGTTAGTCATCGTTTTGTTAAAGAACATTGCTCACTGTCTGTTTTTCCGCTGGAAGAGTCTTCGACGTGATCGTCGTGGTCGACATCGTCTTCGATCTAGACGGCGGTGATTCCAGTGTTCTTCGAATTTTTGGCTCCTAGATGCCAAGCCGTAAAAAGTTGACAGGCAGACAGGTTTCGAAGTAAGACTTCATTGATAAGTTTACATGAGACAAATGTATGAAGCCTTACGCATATCACATTAATACATTAATATAGGAACACGCGTAGCGCAGTGAACGGAGGCGCCCTGCAATACACATGGATTGATCTCTGCGTCCCAGGCTCACCAAGTCCTCCACCTTTCCGGGGTCAGCAAATTGATACCAGACTTTTTTAGTTGGATAGCAGGACTGGCTCTATACATCGGTAGGCCACCGCGAGTCATTGTAGAGGCCAGATATGCATTCAATGACTTCCAACGATGCTTAATGAAGTCGAATGCATGGCGCATCCCTTAGGGTTTGATCAACGATGAGAGCTTCATCCCTTACAATTTTGTCACATTAATTTCATATGAAAGCAAGTTAGTAGACCATGAAGAAGCACTGTTTTATTGATACCATTTAGGACGACATGGTAAGAATGCGTTAAGTAGAACGTCAATAAGTAAAGCGCTTTCTTGAAATTTTTAGTGAAAAATTAAAATGCATATTTTCAGGACAGGTTCAAGTGACCATGTATTATGTATGGTCTTATCTACTAAATAAACATGACGGCTATTCCCGATATAACCTGAAGCATTTTAGAGACATAGCACCCATAAGCATAGTATACGATGTTGGACAGCAGGACCGTGTCTAGTGATTTTACTACATATTATTTCCGGTTTCCTCAAAGACCTTATTGCCATACTTTCATAACAAATCGATAGCTTATCGAAAGTACTTGTTATGCCCGACGTGGTCCATGAAAGGTTTTCCTCTACACCTATTATTTTACAAAAACATTTTTGGGAAGAGTTTTCTAAAGCAAAAGAATGGCCGTCCGTACCCAAGTAGTCACCGTAGTCTCCTACATTTCAACCACCTTACGAGAGCGATCGAGAATTTATTCTCTTGTGTTTCAATGTATAAGAAAACACCCACACTGTAAATGCGATCAAGTTTCAGGAGCCTCTTCACCGAAGTCGAACTGAATCGTTCGGTTCTGTCTTCGATCCTCTTCACACAGTGACTCTTACAGTTCGTTCGTCGCATGAATCGATTTGCATTTCCACCACAGCCACTACAAGTCTCGTCGATTCACCAGCTGATTGTGGTAGATTCAAAAACCATTTAATAACTTAAGCATAATTATAAAGAGTCAGGAGATTTTGTTAGGTTCCCTGGAAATTAGAGACCAATTTAAAATCCATTTTATTAATTCGTTAAACAATTATTGATCTAACTCCATTTTTCTTGCAGATCTCGTAGCAAGTTTTCTTCGTACTACCGTGCACTACATCAGAGATCATTCTTCGCAATTTGGCTCCATGTAAATGAATTGTAAGATAAATTGCGTTCCTGACAAATTTAAAATTGTAGGAAGTGAGATGTTCAAACGGCAATTTCGACAACTGGAATACTACAAATTCAAACTCGTACTCAATGCAGCACAAACGGCTCGAAACACTTGACGAGGTGTAGGGCCAAGGAAGTGTTAACTGATGCACAGCACAGAGTAGGTCTGGAAAATATCCTCATGGTGAATTTGACCTTGAAGCTGAGATGGTTCGCGTACGGATTTCCGCCACTGAGTGAAGTGAAGGTTTCCTTTCACTGGAAACAAATATACGAAACGTACAGAAAAGCTCGGTGTAAGCATTTCAACCGTTTTGTGATGTCTGAACGAGTTGAAAAGTCGAAGTGATTGGACAGATGGATGCGACACCAATGAGTGACAATGAAAGAGATCGTCGTTTTGAGGTGCCGCCGGCGCTTCTGCACAGCTATGACGACCCGTTTTTCGACCATATTATGACGTCCGACGAGAAGTGGGTCCACCAGAAACTTCACAGAACGTGCTTGGCATTCGAAAAGAGAAAGGCTCCAATCCACCGATGATGTACGGCCACGCATTGCACTGCCGACGCTGCAAAGGTTGAACGACCTGAAGTACGAATCTCTGCCTTGTCCACCGTACTCGGCAGACCTCTTGGCTACGAACTACCAACTTCTTCGAGCATCTCGATAACAATTCTTGTACAAGAAGTCTTTCAAAAGCCATGCCAAGGCTGAAACTGCCTTTAACAACTTCACCGTTCCTAGAATTCCAGAGCTTTACACAACCAAAATGAGTAAGCTTGTTATCGTTGTCAAAATATGCAGACTCTCATAGCTTTTGTTTCTATTAATTGGGTGTATTCCGAACTAAAATATACCACCTTGCAAACTTAGGGTGGAATTCGACATTAATTTCTGGCGAACCTAACATATGGCCATTGTGTCAATTTTACTAAGTGCGTCAAACAAAAAGTTCGTACGAGTATTTAAACTGTTTGCATTCATCGTCAATCGGATCGTAGTAGTATCTAATCAGTGCACGACTGCAATTCCCGATGTCCACCGGCATCTGAAAAGAGAAATATGAACTTCGGTTTCTGTGGCTGAATTCAGAATACAAATCTTTTCGAAAAAACTACGGATGCGGTCTTCTGTTTATGTCACAACCAACTTTCGCAATTGCACTTTAGAGCCAAGCAAAACTGATAACTTATCAGCGTTTAAGTCCAGTCGGAAGGGTGGTGGGTGGTTAGTTTGGGTTACTTTGTGAATTTACTTTGACAAAATTACAATTTGTGAGGCGCCATTGGCTGCGACTCTCCGTGTTGTTTACCATCACCTTTCTTATGACTATTGCGCATTAATTTCTATTGCCGATCTCTTAAAAACTAGAAGGACAAAACAATGACGATTTAGCTCTTTATTTAATGACTATTCTTTTTTCATGACAGAGTAAGACACGAACTTTAGCCACGAGGATGGTGAGATGAGTCGAACTACGAGGGCTCACTATAAAGGTAATCACGCGTTTGAAATCTAACTGAGGTCTCAGCTTTTACCCATATCTCAGATCCTTTCATTCACGGTTGTTTGGAGTTCGAAAGCTGGATAAAGGAGAGGAAGAGTTGCTAGCAATAAAACTTAATCAAGGTGCGTTTAGTAATAAAATTCTTTGTAAATAGACGAGTAATAAACATACAACCACTTTGTTTGGTAAATTTGAATGAAACAAGGAAGAACAGGTGAAGCTGTGACAGAATATATACTACGTTCACTAGAACACGAAAACACCCCTATGAAACTGTTGTTGCTGTATTACACCCAAGCTAATGATGATGAACATCGAGGTATTGCTTCAAGGTGGCAGCTTTTCCTTCTAATCGAAACAATTTCCTTATACTCTACGAACTGTCTTCGTGTTGCAGCAAAAGTATTCAATATCTTCATATCTCCATAATTAGTATTTTTCAGCACAGAACACTAATACCTACATACACTTATAGGATCACACTCAATAGGCATTTCATGGGCCGAAATACGATCTGCAACAAACATTCTTATTCAGACGAATGTCTTTTATGTGAAGTACAGATGCAGAAGAGAAAGATACTTTTCCTTTTCGTTTTCAACCTATTTCATTACCGTGCAAGGGTCTGTGTCTCCAGAGATGACGGCTTTCAGTACAGCGTTTGGCGCAGGGTCAACGTTCACCGAAGGCAATAGGACCAAAACCAGTAGCAGCACAGTCGCCATGGTGCTGAAAACTCAGTTGCTTGATGAAGATTAATTAAAATAGTCATAGCTTAAATGTCTGTAAGCCAAAAAGCAATAACAGTCTCAGAAATTTACCCAGCGTTGAGTGCAAGCGAATGATTTACAATGAAAATTGGAAACATCGTTTACATAGAGGCAGCACGGTTTAAGCGATCATTGAAGTTCGTTCGTCTGAAAATTTAGACAGCTATTCAGTTAAACAGATTTAATGGCGTTTACCTTCAAAACGAGAAGAGGCAAATATAAAATTTAAACTTTTCCGCAATCCCTTTCTAAATAGGTTTCGCCACCGTTCCAAGGCTTAACGTCTACTATTCCATACTTAGGTTTCCTTAGTGCACACGTTGTACAAACTATTTGCAAGTTTAATTCTCGAACGCTTATGAATGAACTTTCACGTCAAGTCGACAACAGGACTCATCTTATTAGCTCAATGCACTGAATTTAACAAGCTTTTTCAAAAGACCTATCTTCCTATCTACTCTGCGGATCCCAGGACGTCCTGCATTCGACTTATTTCCTCACCTCCAACATCCGCGGTCCTCTCTTTTCTTGCACGGACGCTGCTGCTGTTTGAGGAGTGTCCTTTCTTCATGAAAACCTTAGAATGCTAGTCGACTCGATTCTCCTTGGGGTCTTGATATAACTGAGCAAGAGCGTTCTCATATGGATTGCAGAGGCCTTTTCACAGACAGTTCTGGTACTGGCAAAGGAGCTTATTGTAATTACCTTAACTGTGGCGAAGCACTTAAAGTGTTCGAGAAACTTCAATAAGAGGGTGCCGTACGAAATGAGTGAAAATCGGAAGCAACGCCACTTTGAAGCAACGTCGATGCTGCTTCTGTGTAACCAGAACGACTCATTTCTCGACCTTATTGTTACGTGCCACGAGAAGTGAATATGCTACGACAACCAGCGACGATTGAAAGACTGGTTGGATGAGGTTGTGCAGTGAAGCTCAGCAGCACTGTCCAAACTGAAATTGATCCAAAAGAAGTCACCCAAATCAAATGGCACACTAGTTTAATCCATCACAGTTTCTCGAAGCCAAGTAGAGAGATTACGGAGGAAAAGTACGTCGAGAAAACCGGCTCAGTGGACCAGAAATTGCACCTCCTGCGCCCACATTGCTCAACGGAAACGGAGCAATCTCTTCCCGCGATAACGCACGTCTACACGCACCCTTACCCAGGCTGCAAAGGTTGAACGAGCTGCGCTACGAAACTGCCCCATCCACCATATTCGTCGGCATCTTGCGCTCCGCCTACCATTTATCCGAATATGGTGGCATTTTCCTACGCGAGTAATGCTTCAAAAGCCAAACCGAGTTCGCTGCTGCCTTAAAAGTCTCTAAAACTTCAGTTTTCTCCGACTGGCAAGGAATTTCTCATTCCCAAAAATGTATTAGTTCCAATAGTTCTTGATCAAAAAAGCATATTCAGCTTTTGGACCATCTATGGTGCAACCAAGACAGAAAAGTTCAAAGAATGGGAGCACGAAACTGTGCTTCTCTAGACATCCGTTATTAAACCTACTCTCATCAAGTGTCTCTGCTGGAAACGGTTCCTGAAAACTCGCGAGCCTTAAAATTTGCAATCTTCTTTGTGAATTATTCCATAAACTTATACTATGTTGGTAAACATGTGTAGGGCACACAGACTTTTGCTCAGATTCAGAAAATTCTCATATGACGCAAGAAGTGTTCCACCGAGGTTGAAGCGTTAGAAGTGACGTGTGTTTTGAAAAAAAATATTTCATTGATTAATTCACGTAGAGCTAATTATCGCTCATGGACATTCCCAGCTTTTAAATGACGGGTGTTTATGGAGTCAACTGAACATGGAACTTGTGATGAAGTGCGACATAGAGCTTTTCGCTTGTGTATGGGCTCTGGTTTGACTATCGACTTGGTGGATTTCCATGTACCTTTCCAAAGTTTGTTGCATAAGTTTTATAAAGCATTCTGGTCCGAATAAAACAGTAGTGGTTCCCTCACTAGGCGACACAAGCAACTTTCTCTGTAGCCTAAATCCTTAACGACATGAATTTGAAGGCGCTCATTCTTTAACGATGCTGAGATATTTGCAAAACCCCGGACCACAGGTGACTTCGGTGAGGAACGAACGCGCTATTGTCCTTTCCGGGGAGTAACGCGCTCACCACCACACCATGCTGGTCCTTCGTTTCGCCTGTCTCTCAGCTAGTTCTATTGATCTTTTGCGATCGGCAATTACACGTCAGCGGGATTGCTGACGGCAAAAGATTAATAGAGCTAAAAAGTGGTGCTCATTCTCTTCGATTATTCAAGTGCATTAATATTTAACCCCTTTATTCATTATTTTGAGCACTAGATAGAACAAATAGCAACGGTTGGTAAGATTACGTTCGCGCAGAGGCATAACTTCTAGCAACCCTTCTTTCCCATGAGGACCTCTTGTTTTTTCAAGAAAAAAAGAAAATGGTAATAACAGCTGCAACTGAAAAACACAACACAATGAAGACAACAAGATGTGAGTGAGTAACGATAGCCGAGGAAGGCCCAGCCCGCCGCTGTCATCATCACATATCATCACCACTCAGATATGCATTGCATGCCTTTGGAATGACCAGCTGGACCCTTTGTCATCACATTTCACTTTACACACCATTCCGATGTTATTTCCGATGAGGAAAATTTATTGATAATAGCCTATTAAAACAATTTTGGCAACAATGAACCAGAAAATTAGCCGGAAAAATGGGATCGTGAACGATTCCTAACGGTCAAACCACAGCGAGCTGCAATGGAGTTGTAACATCGAAGTACAGAAACCATAGGCTTCCCAATTTTAATATATGATTACCACGATTCGGAAAATCTTGGCAAAGCTCATGGCAAGTGATGAATCTCGTGGCAAAGATACAGCATGAGGATGTATTGTGGAAAGAGATGTATCACTTAGCGAGATAACGTTCCATCAGCACCTGATATAGAAATAAAATAAAATGGAAAGGAAACATGAATAAAATTTCTAGCTATGAAAAAGTCGCCAACCACATGACTATGGTGACCTTAAAAAGTGCTTGTGATATAAGTACAGATTGTTGTTCTGCCATTACTGACCCCAGAATCGATCAAACCTTTAAAGTCTACAACACCTAACAACCATCTCGATATCGGAATTCGACTTGTCACAAGGTCCTGACTGATGAGCTGACTAATCCCAGCATTCGTTGCTACTGCATGCTGTCACTCTTGCCCTAGAAGAATCCGAAGAGCAAGGCTAATAAACTGAGAAAATATGGAACACCACCTTAAATTTGGTGGAATACCTGAGTTATTGTTGAGATTAATTGGCACATCCAGAATGACGAATTCAGATCACAAAAACATCTGAAATGGGAAATTAATTAGAAGGAGAGCTACATTAAAATCCCAACACGTAAATCCCGATAACACTGGAGTTCAACGTATCCGTATAAAATCAATGTGGAATTGAGCCAGTGTTTTGAACACGTCATCACTGAGCCATGGATAACAAGGAAGGTGTCTTACGCTTTTAATTCCACTGCTTTTTATGCTGTTTGACGTGTTTCTGCGGTTTATTATGAGCACGGTTGAAGTTCGATCCATCCTCTGTTCACCAAGCCAACCATCCCTCCGAGGTTGGAAACTTAGTTTCCTACTTCTCTGAAAAAAGCTCACTCTGTACCGTCCAGATGGGAACGGCTATATCAGGAGTCCACGGAGGATCGAATCAAACCATCTTCAACGACATTTATAAAGAAGACAACAATCCTTAAGCAGCAGCCAAG